ACCACGATAAACAAGAGAAGTGAAAATTCTCGTGTCGTTATTAGGGACAATGACTCTAATGCAGGTGCTAAGAAGTGGGTGAAAGGTGATCTGGAAGTGGACATACCAGATTTTAAGGGCGCATTTAAATTATCCAAAAATGTCAATTTACCATCATCAGCATCACCACTTGATATTTTTTTGTTATTTTTAACACAAAATATTGTGAACTATTTACATAGTTGAACAATCCAATCTTTATCGAACTCAGCAATACTTGAGAATGGCACCAATGACAGAATCAGATTTTTATCAATTACTTGGTTTCTTATTTTATTCTTTATTGGTGAAACTACCATGTAAAGGTGACTATTGGACTTTACAATCTGTTCAAACAATGATTTCTGATAACATCTCACATAATCGTGTTGATGAACTTTTACGTATGTTACATTTTAATGATAATACTTTAATAAAATGAAAAGTGTGGCAAAATTCAACCATTAGTTGATTTGTTTAATGAACGGTGCAGTGCTTTAGTTGATCAAGAAGAATTCATATCTATCGATGAACAAATGGTAGTGTACAAGGGTAAAACAGCTCCATCGTCATTAAAACAATATATGCCGACGAAACCGTCCAAATACGGATTTAAGTTATGGTCCAAAAGTGGTGCGTCCGGTTTCGTATACAAAATAGATTTATATCAAGGTAGTAATAAAGTTGCAAAGCCGACCAAAACAAGTTCTACCACCATATTACAATGAAGAACTCGATTAGTTGGTACCATGACTGCAGATAATGAAAATATTAAACATAGAAATGAAGGTGTTAAATTTGTCGGTGTTGGTCGAATGATGGTTCTTGATCTGCTTGATAACGTTCCAAAAGGTACAAAAGTTTTTGTGGATAACTCTTTTGGGTCTTTTGCTTTAGTGAAGAAAATGAGTGAATTAGTTTATGGAATAATTTGCACATTGAAACAAAATCGAACTGGTGGTTGTCCATTACCATCAAAAAAGTATATGAACAACAAAAATCGTGGCTATTACGACTATCGATTAACGGATGATAAAAAGTGTCTAATAGTGGCCTGGAAAGATTGTAAACGGGTGCTGATAGGATCGAATTTTGTAGAGATTAATCCTATCGTACAATTGTTGAGGTGGAATAAAACTGCAAAAAAAGTAAGCATACCAGCGCCTCAACTCATTCACATTTACAATAAATACATGGGAGGTGTTGATAAAACAGACATGTTGTGTGCTTTGCATCCTATACCGTTTCGATCGAAAAAGTGGTATATTCGCCTTGTCTGGCATGTCTTCGATCTCATGGTGTTGAATGCTTGGCTATTATGGCGTTACATATTGAATGATGATGATGGCAATTGGAGATTCAAACGAATTTTTCAGTTTAAACTTGATATTGCTCGTACATTGTTATAGACGCCTGTATCAATGCTAAGATCTATTATTCTATCTGTACAAGGTGATGATAGTTCAAATGAATCAGATAATGGACGCCACGATCATGACTTAGTAAAACGAAAAAAAATCAAAGAATGAATCAAAATCAACAATTACAAGCACTTCAAGATACGATGGTTACAAACATTGACCAATATTTCAACCTGTAAAATATCCTTTGCGGTGTAAGTATGAAAATTGCAAACAACGGACACAATGGATGTGTTCAAAATGTCGTGTACATTTGTGCGTCAAACCAAAACATAACTGTTTTATGTCTTTTCACAACAAAAATTAAAAAGATCATGTTAAAATCTATAGCTTTATATTTTTTGTCTAGTTATTAATTTCAGAAAAACAAATGCTTTTTGTAGAAACATATATGAACAGCAACATATATTATTTAATTTATAATTCTTTATGTATTTATATATGTTTTTCTGTTCCTGCTTACTAAACAATAGAAATAAAATATCCTTACTTATAGACAAACATATGAAAGAAGATAAATAAAAGGTTCAATTTTTTATGTCGTTACCCCCCAATGGCCAATGGAGTGGCCAAAGCACCCTACGCACATGAAAAAGAGTTTTGGTGATCGTCTTATTTTATTGATTTATTGAGAGCATTAGTATTCTTTTCCAATACTTATATTGTCTCTACCTTCTGTGGAATCACTATGGGGGATAAAGGGTTAACCCTTTCAATCCCGACTTTTTCTCTCGTTCTATATAAAGTTGAAGAAAATCTAGATTTCTCTCTCCCTTGCGTTCTCCTTTAGATAATCAGCTGCACACGAATTCTAGCTATACTAGTTCAGTGCGAAAAAAATATTTTCGCAGCGAAGAATACACGCACTTTTTTGAATACACATATGACATGTATCATGTAGGAAGACGACAGAACGCAAAATTTCTATATTACGATATGCATGTCATCTCGTAGATGACATGCGGGATTGAAAGGGTTAAACGTCAATACCTGCTGTCCGTGTGATTTTTATTCACGATTCTATTATTTTGTTATTCTAAGTGTTATAAACGATATTGCTGTAAGGATTAAAATAGAGTATGGACGCATCCAATCTTCGATCTCAAATGTGAATTAGTAATCGATACAGGTAAATAACACATTTATCTAAAAGATCTAATTATCGAAATTTTCCGATATATAGGATGTTGAAGAATATCGAGACAACTACTTTGAGATTTATTGAGTTAATTATAGAATCCACAGACTTAGCTTAAGCTATATCTACTCTGTAAAAATTCATTTGTGTAGACTTAAAAAAGAACAATAAATTCTAACCCTTATACGTTTTCCATAAGTGACCACAAATGGAGCAGCAAGACCAAATGAAAAAACACCAATAGCCGTAGAAATGTAATTTTGGCTTCTTGATTCTTTCGGATAAATTTTATCATACCAAACATAACGCATAGCTTGAACACAACATGGTGTTGCAATAAATAGTTTATCTTTTGCATCGGCTGCAACCTGTAAGAAAAAAAGTTAAAACAAAAAACAATTGTCCATTCAAAACAAAAGAAAAACATTGATTATACTTGAAGACAAGTAACATTTCCATAAAGTTCTATTCGTTGTAAAACAATTTGACATGTTTGATCGGAATCATTTTTTTCACATTGTGTTATACAATCAATAGCATATCGTTCAAAATAATCAGCATTTTTTATATAATTAGCTTTTAATTCGCCATGAACTGCTTTACTATGATATTGTTTTAAAATTTTTGTTGCAATCAATGCAGCACATATTCGATATTTAATATAACATAAAAGAACTTTTGCCAAATCAATATAATTCATAAGTATTGACCATAAAAATAGATCGCGCATTATATAATCTTTAATTATTTCTCGATTTTCTCTATCTATAAGATTATGTTCGTATTGAATGCTTTGACCTTTACTATGATTTGATTCGTTATTTTCCTCGTTTAAACCCCAATATAACCGATACCTATTCTCTCGTTCATCGCTATCAAAATATAATTTATGCATATAATCACCAATAAGTGTAGTAAGAATTGTATTAAGATCATCAGTGGTAGTAATACATTTTTCCTTCAATTCAATAAACCAACTTAAATGAGTTGTATTCCTATTCTATAATTGTATCAATGCTAAATATTTATCTTTTTTTTTGCATTCAAAGTTATAACATACCACTGCTTCTGTTGTATATAAAGATTTAATAAATTCACTATATCGATTCTGTCCGTCAAAGAATTTATCTTTTGGAAAGAATATTTTACTAGGATCCATGCCCAATTTAAGAAATTCATAAACAAATGTTGGCAAATTTTCTGTTAAAGCATCTGTGAAAGCTTTTTCTTTGTTCTAAAGAAAAAAAAAAGCAATCTTAAACATACGAAAACATCATATCATCAAAGCTAATTAATTGTCTAACACTGTAAAGTACAAATGAAAAACTAACACCAATTTATTTTTCATTTTTTTTCTGTGATATCAAGCATTCAACTTGAATCAAAATAGGAACGTGAATCGGCAATTAAGTTCTCTGTTAACTGCATGATATACCGCGATTCTATAGATGCATTATGCGAGGAAAGTTCTGGAAAACCAAAACACGGTAGTTTTCAGGTCCCAGAAGATTTAGTTATGAAGAGTGTCTTCTTAAAGATCGCAAAATGTTAAGTAAACTGAGTGATTATTGCATTTATTATCACCTTCTTTTAAATATTATAAGCATCAGAAAAAATTGAAAAAATAAAATTTATCATAGCATTACTAACAACCAAATTTTTCTACTATTTGTGATGTTCATAGATTTTTAATGGAAGATCTTACGCAATACAAAAGGCCTTCATTTTATTCTGAATTTTGTGCTGTTTACGATGATGCTTTTCATGATTGAATCTTCTGGAACCGAAAAACTACTGTGCATGATTTTCGAGAAACCACTTCTGTTAGTGCATCTAGAAGCTTTTGGTGCGAAATGAATTGGATAGAGAACTTGATTGGTTATTCAAAACAATATTTGGATTCGAATTAAACGCTTGACATTGTAGAATAATAATAAAAAATCATAAGGCTTACATTGTTGACCCGTATTGCATATATTGTGGCTCCCAAAATTATTCGATTAGATTTATTTTTAATTTTTCCACTATGCTAAACGCTAAGAAGAATCTAAATAGTGATCAGAATTAGGAATTTGATTTACAAAAATTTTGGAGATGAAAATGGTTGTTAGTTTCCTAGGCATAAGATCTCTGAAAAACCAAAATTTTCAGTTCTTAGAATTGGCAAATAGAATGTTGTTTCAATTACTTAGAATGAGACATCTAACAAGTAAATACAAAGTATAAAATTTTTTTGCTTTCCATGAGATTTTTACCCAAGATACATCAAACTTCGTGATGAAATAGGTGTAATGTTTCAATAGAAACAAAAACGACTTTGTTGGGTGTTGGTGGAATGTGCTTTGTGAGTGTGGGTGTGGGAAACAAGTATCATAGGAACAGCTAGTGTGTGAGCATCTGATATGGAATCCCTGCGGTCAGTTCTATGCATATCAAAATGTTTTCGATGGTCTTAAAAAACAGTTTTATCTCTCTTGATCTTGCAATATTTATAGTTTCCTATTGAATTGATTGAAGCGGGATTAAATTTCTTCTTAAAGGTAATTCTAACTGATCTCTAAAAGTTTGTTAAATTTCTCTTCTGCTAGGACTGATAGTGATGCTTTTAAATTAATGCGAATTTTGAAAACATTACTGAGATTTTGATTTAGTTATTCGTCAAAACAAACATTTTTCAGTCGCAATGAGATACGACGTGATTCTATGAAAATACTGTGGGAACATTAGTTACTTGAAATACTAATCATTCATACCATAATATTATTTAATGAGCTTTTTAAAATTAATTCTTTTGCAACATCAATACAATTCCAATTCATTGCTAATCTTAATAAGTTTGATCGCTGTGCATTTCGACTGTTATTATTGACATATTCACGTACATTTGATTGGCGTTGTCTATCAGGCGAATCAATTGATGTTTTAAATTTTCGCAGTTTGATTTCTATGTCATCATTTTGAACTTTTTCTTTGTTTTCAAAGTGTTTTTGATGTGCTAAATAAATTAATATATAAGTCAATAAAAGAAAAAAAAACAAATACACTCAACTTACATTTACAAATACTTCTCAAAATTGTTGCCGATAAATCATCATCTGTATTCAAATCAAATACAGTTATACCAGAACGAACAGCTGATTGAAGACAATACATAACTTGATTTACTGCTGTATTCAAACTTTTTTCGAATGGGTCATCATTTGACTTAGTTGTTGGTTGACCCATTCTTTTTTTCTTATTCGAATCATCATCATGTGCTAATATTACACGAAGCTCTGTTTTAAGTTGCTCTTTATATTTATCGAACTTATTTTGAAGTCTTTAAAATAAATAAATGACAGTATATAAGAAATAATTCATTTAATAATTTACGCGTTTTCAGATGCATCAAGCTGGAAACGAATATGTCTACAATCAATAGAAAGAATAAAAAGCTTAACATAAGACCAATTTCTTAAACAACGTATACCTTGATCTTGCATGATGTTCGTTAACTGTATTAAATGTTACAGATGAGCAAGTTGTAACAGATACTACTTCATCAATTTCATCAATATCATATGGAATATCAGAGTCTTCACTATCATCATCGAATTCTTTCGTATATAACAACCATTTTTTGAAAAAATCAGCAATACGACCGCTACCCTATTTGTACAAATCGTTATGCTGTTTACATCTTATTCGATTTACTTACATCAATAATAACAACAGGAATATGAGCTTTCAAATCACGGTATATACTTCGTATGGTACCTTTACCACCTTCGAACACAACAGTAACCACAGGCACTAAATATGATTTAACAAGTTGCTAGTGAAATGCCTACGAGATTAAAATGTGAAACACGCTGTAGATATTGTTGTTAATCACATGGTGATTGTTTTATTCTATCTATTTTGGGACACATTTATTCATCATTCTTTTACTTCGTCATCCAGAAATACAATAAGGACGTTATTCATAAACGGTCGTTGACCATAGATCATCCACGTCTGTGGTATTGAAGTAACAAATGATTACTTTGTTATTCTTTTGTTATCTTAATTGCATAGCATTCCAATAGAATTTCCTCGATGTGTATTTCTTACTTTAAACTTATATACGTTGATTTTTTTACCAAAATGACTATATAATGAGAAAGCGGAGATTTCACTGCAACGCGTACAATATCAATCATAAATAAAAAATAGAAAATTAAAGAATAAAAATTACATCAGAATAAAAGTTGCTATATTTTTTCACTACAACCTGCAGTGAGAATAAATCGAATTTTTATCTTTCGGTTGTGTTCATACATATTCATGGGCATAAGTTCAATTATTGTTTGAATATTCTAAAGTTCGCTTTCATAGTCCTCTCAAATAAGGCTAACGGAACAAAAACTCATTCCGAACACGCTGTACGCCATCAGAAAAACCTGTTTCGGACGACATATGATATTTGAAGCATATTTGTCTGCTGACGTACAGTACGTTTGGAACACATTTTTGTTTTCGTTCGCCTCGACATGAGATTAACTTTATTCTCTGTTCTGTATTTATTTTCTCTATGTATTTTCCTCTCGTCGGTACCTGTGTCTATATCTAAACTGGAGAAATATCAGATACATTAAATAAATATGACAATTCGACAACTCTATTTAGGATTCATTTAAAGAAGCCGTTCAAATCTAGTGTTTTTACCAACTTTTTAATTATTATCGAGAGAAGAAATCAGCTGTACATATTGCAAATATGCTATTATCTGTGAAATTGATGTATACTATGATCAACCTACATTTAAATATACATTGCTTTTCTATAATTCAGATGAATTACATATTCTAGTGAAAAAAACCGCCATATTTCTTCTGAAGCATTTTTAATTGTTTGATTTGTATTTATTATTTATGATCAATGTATCATGCGATCCAGTGAAATCTGTATTTTCTCGATATCTACTTATTATCGAAAAAAAGCAAACTATAATAGTCTGAAGTAAGAAATACAATGGGAGAATATTCAATGAATCTCTACTGTATTTTGAGGATCGATTATCTATGAATTTTATTGAACATTAAATGTAACTATAACAGGATCATGAAAACTGCTTGAGCAATTAAAAGACTATGGAGGTTGGTTTTCTGTTAGAACTTTTGGAAAACATTGCATAAGAAAAATCTTTCTTATCAATGTATAGAAAGTAAGTTTCAAACTATGAAAAATCTTTTTTTCTAAATTATTTATTAAATAATTTTGTTATGTCATATCTCTAGAAAAAAATCTTAGTTTGTTATAATTTTTAATCATGCACTGTGCGCATATATTCTGATTACATTATTATTTCTAATATTTTCCACAAGCTCAATGTTTTTCAATCAATATGCAGTAAAAATGCCTTTATTTTAGTGTTTTACAAAGCTGGATTATCGCAAACAGAAAGTTTTATTTGGTTGCATAGCAGAAACGGGCAACCGTAACTCGGAGTTGGAGTGAACTTCGGAGTCGATGCTTTTCCTTATTAAATTTAGAATGGAGCTCTGTATAGTCGAGGCAAGACATAACGGAATCGGGGTATCGAAACTTTCCCAATATTATTTCCTCCACTTATCATACATGTAAAACTTAAAACTTGAATTCAAGTGAGTTTTCAAGTTTCAAGCTTCAAGTTTCAACTTTCAGGCTTCGACTTTCAACTTTCAATTTTCAACTTTTAAGTTTCAACTTCCAACTTTGAAGTTTCAACGTGAAAGAACTTATCGGGGCAACAACTCACACACAAACACACACACATATCACATCCCATGGTGTGAGTGCGACGAAAGAAGTGACCGAAGCGAGAGCTCAAGTGCTATCACTCACATGGACACATGGCTGGCATGTTCAACGCTTAGCGTTCCTGAAACGGTTTAAGAATGGCGGTAACACACACTCTGAGTGTCCCTCGTGAGTGGCAAAATGTAAAACATGAAACTTGAAAGTTGAAAACTCAGCTGAATTCAAGTTTCAAGTTTTACACTACTGCCACTTATTGGTGAATGTCCTAGGATACGCTGGCAAAAGTTATATGGATTATCACCAATATACATAATATTCGATTCAGTATATATTCTAGTACTGTTAGTCTGGATGGAATCATTTTATCAGTGAGTGACAGTACGCTGCTTGCTTCGCCAAACATGTGGCATTTGAAGAATGTCCAGAAGGTGTGTTATCGTTAATCCACATGACTTTCATCAATGCCAAAGATACTGCTAGCCACAGCATTGCCCATATATATCATATAAAGAATATAAGCAACTTGTGATATCAATTATTTCAAGTAATACTTCAGATTAACTAAATGAAGGTCTACATGATCTGGTTCTTGCCCTCTTGAGAGTATGGTATTCACACAGAACCTTATTTTCAGAATAATTTCAAAAATGATTTTAACTAGAATTCTTCTATGAAAGTTGTTGGTCCAAAGTTTTGCCTTTTATTATATAAACCAATCGTTCTCTTGAAATATTTCTTTAGTAAAACTGAAATAATCGTAAATGATCACAGAAAATCAATGCACTTACTAGGAAAGTCATCTTCAAGATGGAATTTCGCCATGTGAACACATAATTGTGTTCGATAACCTCCTAGACCATAATGTCGAAATGTTCCATCATCGAACATCAGATAATGACTATGATTCATATCGAGATCGCGTTCACCACGTTCACGTTCGTTTTCTTTTTGCTCATCATCACTAGTTTTAGATTCTTGTTTCTCTTTCTTAAGAATCAAAACATATTAAATCAATATTGATTAGAACATAAATCAAACCTCCTTTTCTTTATTTCGATCTTTTGTTAGTTTCTCTACGTTTTGTACACTTCCCCATTTACAAACAGCAATAGCTGTAATCTGTTTTTTTGGATTTGTTAATTTGACTTTATTAATTGCTTGTCCAACAAGTTGAACAATACCAACATTATATCCATTTGTAATTAACCATGCATCTGTTTAAAATAAATTCAAACAAAATTAAATTGAAACTTATTTAAAAACTTACTTGATTTAAGAGCAACATGAATAAAACCATTAATAAAATTTGATTCAAGTCGGTCACTTAATTTAAAGTATTTGTTACCTCCAACAATCGATATAATTAATTGAGGTTTGGGAATTTTCCAAACTTCAAGAAGAAGTTTTTCTACTTTTTCTTCAGGTGTATCCAAAGCAAGTCGTGTAAACTAACATAAATTATTAATTCAAAAAATAAAAATAAAAACCAAATTTTTCATCTTACTAAAGCACCATTGGGAAGTGTACCATGGGCCGGATTTAATCTTTGCAAAGTATGAAGACGCATTTCCCATTTTGTATCGTTCGATTTGGTATCTTTATCCTTGTGATAAGGATCGCGTGGTCGATTACATCCACAAATATTTTCTTCTTCATTCCTAACGAAAAGCAGAATTAACATTAATACATTAATTGAAATATCAATCATAAAATACTCTTTTTTAACAAATGTGAAACATTCACGATAATAAAGGTTTAATTGATTGAAAGCACCTTCATACATTGGCTCTTTCTTTAACTAAAACAAATTTCATTCAATTTTTTTTTCAAAGAACTGTTTTTAGTCAGTACCGGATATAAACTTATTGGTGAATTTCTTCTGGCCATTCTTTGTTTTAAATATCATATAATAATTACATATCTAATATACAAAGAATATTAGAATCCAACCAATGATAAAAATATTTATATTGTAACGTAGCCTTTTCAACTGATCGAATTCTGAGCACTATGGTAACCGCATTTCGGCGGTCTCCATCAATCAGAAAGCGAGTATGAAAAAACTATTTACTTCAGTAGATCAAAATATTTAATAAAAAGTTTTTTTTTCTTTAGCATTCTGTTAAACAAACAAGTACCACTTGTCTTCATGACTCGCTTCAACTACGACTGAATTCGACCTATCCATTTTCAGCCGTAGCTGGGCGAACTGAGGGTGTGGGTATAGGTATGCATGTGTCGGTATGCATGTACGCGTGGGTGTGGGTGCGGGTGTGCGGACGTGAATATGAGTTTGTTGGTGTGGATGTTGGTTCTGTGTGCATCCACATCCCTTACCCACACCCCTGATAACAAAAAACAGTGGCTATGGATCCTCAGTATGCTCATAATACAGCTAAAAAGAATTATCTTGTTCTTCTTCTAGAATTACTGAATGTTCCTGAGAAGAAATAGTCTACCTTTTAGAAAAATCCACAGAAAGGAATTATGGTCTGAAATTTTTGTTCGTAAATAGGTCTCTTGGGTTCTTAAAATGGCCTGAAATTTTCAGCGAAAACGAATGCTTTCTTATCGAGACATTGGGTGCGCAAAAAAACGATTATATTTCACAAGACAGTCGCTAAACCGACTTTTCTGCAAACGTGCCATATCTAGAGAAGGGAACATCCGATTTAGCTGAATATTTCTGGGCATTATTAAGATCGCAAGATCTATTCATAAGCAATATTTCAGATCAAACTTCCTTTCTTTTCACTTCGTATAAAGCCGACTGCCCCCTCAAAGTTACACTTCTTTTTCGGATGTCATATGGTGAAAGTGGATCACTTCGAAGTTGATAGGCTAGCTATAAAAGATAGCTGAGTGTAATTAGGGATGTACCGAGACCGAGACTCTGGGTCTTAGTCGCCCCGGTCTCGGTCAGTCTCGGTCTTGGTATCGACGAGTGTCGGCAGGGACGTACCGAGACTGACGACTCACTGACAAAGATGAGAATTTTTCTCTACCAAGAACTAGTGGTGAATCGAGGGGGAGACTGGGGAGGGCGCCGTCTCCCATTGAGAGTCTGTGCTTTCTCACTGATGAGATGGAAAATTTAATAAATATCTAGAAACTTTCTCTCGTTGTTGAAGTATATTATATAGCTCTAGAAATTTAGTTAGCAACAAGTGAATGCAGCTTTCAAGTCTAATAGATTTTTTCTCAAACCAAAAAAGTTCTTGTCCGAAAGAAAAGGTTGGTATATGAACGGCAGTCAGCAATTACTTACATCTGTTATGAGCTAAGATTAATGCATAATTCATGAAATGTAGAGGGTGTATTGGTACCAAGGACTGTGTGGAGCTAGTAATTGCCTCAGTCGCATTCGAAAATTTGCCAAATTCTAAAAATTTGACCGTTAACACTGCAATTTAAAGTCAAAATTCCTGATTCTAAATTCGTACATGTAGTAGATGAATTGAAATCAAGGTATTTGAGCTAGTGTCGTCTATCGAATTGCTAACTCAACAAACTAGAAGTATTCCAGGATTTATCTAAGCGATGTAAGTTTTTGTGAAACAGTGAATTGATGGTAGACTTCAATGAAAAAAAGTGTTATAGGAAACGGACGATGGTTTCGTAATAAATCTACAAATCCTTAAAATAGTCACCTAGATCTTTGAGAAGTCATTTCGAAGGTGTCTTAAGTTCTTAAGAGATGTTAAAACGGTTTCAGCTTGGTTTCAATTTAGGTTTCGTATGCTGCCAGTTTTTTAGGGCTTCTTGTGTACACAGAGACGAGCATTGGTCGTGGCTCTTCGGAAGGAGTGGGAGGAGAGGGCACTATGGGTCCCACGCCTCGACGCTAGAAAAAAAAGAATAGTAACGTGGGCAAAAGGTTGCTTGGACAGTTGAACGTTTCATTTTTTATCCATACGCTCTAAATTACCAATTCATCCACATACATCTCGTTGTGATACAAACTCTATCAGACTTCAGAAGGAGCATCTACTGCTTTCACCAAAATGAAACATCAAAACTATAACACGTTATAGTAAATAGTATATCCGATACTAGACTTAGTAGTGTGTCTTCATGAGCCATCGAGAGAGATATTGTTGTTGATTATGAAAAGATAATTGATATACTCGCCATTAGTGGCGTATCCAGAAAATCGTGGGTGGGAGGGCAGTGCCCACCGTCCTTAAAAACTCTCCCCACTTCCGTTAAAACTTTTTTTCAGTATAAATCAAGTTATTCAATTGCCTAGTTCCTAGTAGGGTTGCCAGGTGATCGCTACAGTCAACGTGAGTAATTCGGACAATTCGGACAACGTCGTAGATACTAGCGACACAGGTGGCAACCCTGGTTCCTAGTGAGTTACACAAAACAGTATATCTGTTCTTTTATTAAATGAAATGAAATTAACAAAAGACAGAAAAACAGAAAAATAAACAAAAATAATCGTTTCAACAGTATACGACTGTTCTTATGCTGAATTGAGAAAGCATTAATTATCTTTTCATAATCAACAATAATATATCTCTCTCTCTCGATGCCTAATAATGACAAACCCAGTTAGCTGAGGAAACGCTGTTCTGCCGTTAAAACAATGTTTAATGTCACATCGTTTAAACGATGATATATTGACCAAATTACGCGTTTATCATAAAAAACGATTTTCTACGTCATAAAGTAATATTATATTCTTGTCGTTTTAAACGTCGGATTGTAAATGTCATAAATAGTGATTCGTTGACAATAAAACCATAATTTTTCTTTATTTGATCTGTCGTAAACTATACTTTACTTGAAAAAGAAGTTTAATATTCCAGAATCATCTTCGTCTTACATGTAACCTAACCATTTATCTAGTTTTATTAATTTGATGATGGACAATACACGTTCGTTTTTTGTCAATATCTCAATGCATTTCAATGAGTAGGTCTCATTTTGTTTTCGAAAAAGAAGAAGTTAAATCTTTAACAAGTTAAAATATTTATTTAAAGAAATGAAAGTTCATGCATTTATAAAACATAAGATATGAATAGAAGTCTCTTCTACAGACTTTTCTTTTTGTATTGATATTTGTTCAAAACACTTCTACTCATGCCTTATGTTTTAAAGATGCATGAACTTTCACTTCTTTAAATAAATATTTTGACTTTTTAGAAATTTAACTTTTCTGTTTTCATGAGAATAAAATGAGATCTTTTCATTAGAATATGTTGAGATATTACAAAAACCTAACTGCACTCTTTCTTCTAACACAGCAATCGTTTTTTAAAATTTTTTTTCTATACTCTCCGTAGACAATTAAAATCTTGTCGATCGCTCAAGGATGATGAGCTTGTCTTACATCTGATAAATATTCTATCGAAATCTTCTCAAGTTTTCGTTACTAATTCTCAAGTCTAGTTTATTCTAATACCTATGGAGAAATATATAATTACCTACAAAGTTGTGATTTATGATAATCTCGATGAATAATGAAAGAAGAATCTAAATTAGTTTATTAGTATCAGATATGTATGTGATAATGAAACTTAGATTTTTAAGAAGAATCAATGAATTGATACGACAAGCAAAAAATTCTAGGGGAAAATACCATAGATAAAATGATGTCAATTTTTTGGTATATTTTCTCAAAAGAAAATATTGAAGAGCAACAGTATTGACGTACTTCTAAAATTTATGCATTGTTGAGACTATTTTTTTCTTATTCTTTAACAGTCGTCTGTCGTAGATAAATAATTTATTGCTACAAAAGTTAATAGAGCAGCTAAGTTTTTTATTTGATTACTGTAATCTTTATGACTTACGCATAGTTATCATCTAGTTGTTCTTTTAAGATTTATGCTGAAAACGAAATATATACTCAGCATTACATTCTTTTTATGGTATAAGAGTTAAAAAATTAAAGTTTCTTCGCGTAAGAGTTTCAATCGACGCCGAACTCAGTAAAATAACAAGCTCTAAAATGAAATCATTAATGAAACTATATTTAACATTTTTTTCAACTGATTTATTTAGATCAATCAGTGTGACGTTTCGTTCTAACTAAGAACATTATCAAACACAAATAAATAGACAGAAGAAGAATATATATAAGAGTAAAATAATATCTTCGTTTTTCTATTCTATAGGGGTCGCACCAGGGTGGTACCAAGAAGAAGGATTTTGAGAAGGATTTTTTCAAAAAAAAAAGAAGGTAATTGGAACAAAAGAAGGAAAGGAAGGAAAAGAAGGAATTTTCCCGGAGTACTGAGCTGCAACAAATAAATTGTATACGATGTTCAATAAGAAACGATAGGACTGAGTTCAGACGAGTAAATTATTTTCGAATTATTATTTGTTCACGTTCCAAGACCATTCTCTCGGTTTTATAGCGAATACGAACAGAGAACGAATTTCAAAGACGAACAGTTGTCTCCTTGGTCATGCAATCTGTGTGCATGTTGTTGTCATCCTCATTTCTTAATGACTCTCTCGGTAGTTTTATAGGGAAGAAGTCCAAAGTCATCTCTGAAATTGATTAACCAACTTAATTTGCGTAGAAAGTTGAACGTTAATTTTGAGTGGAATTGAAATTAACTTATACGTACCACCCCCATTCTCGTCCACAAGCGCCGTCACTGCATACTACTGAATGTCGGTTGTCTTTCTGCTTTTGTTTATCAACAACGACACCAATAAAAACTGTGCATCTTTTGTTCTGCTGAGCGACAATCTCGATCGAACATTGATACGCGACTAAAGGCCACTTGCACAATCATCTACCGGGTGTCGCATAATAAATGAGCA